ATGCCTTTGTACCCCTTAGACTTTTACGAATAAAGTCGATAGTAGATTGTTTTCCTGACGATTTAGTGTGTTTCTAAAAGATGGCTCCAACTATTCAATGAAGTTACTCGAATTAGGCATATGGAAAGCCACTCGTGCCTTCCCGTACCGAACACATTTACTTAAAATCCAGTTGTATGGGGAGTTCCATTACGCAACTGTTAACAAAGTTCCCCAATTTTGGTGTGCTTTTTCCTTCTATCTTCTCATTCAAGGAGATCCACACTGGGCTGGCCGCAGATTAGCCAGAGTCTTGAATTTCCCTGAGGGGTTTGTCCAATCTAGTATAGGCCTCTTTTGGATGAGATCCTCTCCTTCCTGCCGGCCAGGCATAAACGTGTCTGGTGTTTTCTACATATCCGTTGCCCTGAAGGACCATGATTGTGTGCATCCGGGGGTTATCCGAAGCACCAGGTGGAGGGGTCAATGATGCAGGCAACAGATAAGCCCTAAATACCCTAAGGATTATATTGCATGGGACAACATGACCTTTCCTGCCCAACGAATAACCGAGTCAGATTCACCAAGAGTAAGGGTCTGATTAATCCTCGCACGAACTTCCGAAGTGGCTTTTAGTGCCTAGTAATCACAACTAACACTGCATCTCGAATATAGAAGCTAAAATACAAACAAAAATGAACAATGGCAAGGCAAGTTTTTTTTCTATCCTTAGGCATTGGACGACTTGAGTGACGGCAGCCTACTTCAGCACCTGTGTGATAATGGTTTTGCTTAAAGCATACCCAGCTTGCCTGTCCACAAACTAGTTTTTGCACAACGAAGAGCAGGAGATGCAAAGCCTCATCTGAAAGCCACCTGAGCTTATGAGTTAAAGCGTACGTTTTTAAGGCGTTATTGTCTCAAAGGCTATGTCAAACATTTATCATGGCATATATTAAAACAAAAGGTATCTTTAGAATGCGTTTTAGAATTTTATTTGCTTGGTTCAAACTCCCATACCCGTTATACAAACGTCGACGCTTTTTAAAGGGCATAGGAAAGATTAAGAAGAACAACACTGAGTACGTACGTCCGATGCCTATTTAGCAGACTAATGTATGAAATAAACATCAACAAGAGACATTATTGGTCTCGATTCAGTTAACTGACTTAGACGCTGGTAATAAGGCGGGTGTGTTTAGATTTCTATACATCCCTCTAGATGCAGGGGTGCGCATGATTAGTTTCTTATCCAGTAGAGAACATCTGGGCTCAACGAAAGTATGAAATACTGAATAGCATGTGGGCCATCACGTCCGACTTATAAAGCTCAAAAACGTTATGCACTGCTAAGATCCTGAGCTCGCGTTAATAATTTAATAATTTGCTGAGCGTATGCGAAATGCTAATTTCCAAATGCAGACATATGACATGCTCGATTTTGTGACACAATTATAGCAAGTTTAGTGTAAGGGAATACCATAAAAACAGCACAGGTACTAGCCAAAAACTCATACACGCATGTTTCGCCGATATTCTGCCGCTGAAGGACACGGCTGCGAGGGGTTTGCCTCATCAATGGGGCCCCTAAAATTATCTGTCTGTTTTTTGGTAGATGCTATACTTTAGGAAGAGTTGCTTTTTAGTTTCCTCAGAAATCAACTGCGAGTTTCAAGTAGATCAGTATATTCTGGGTCCATAGGCACAGACCGGAATTTTTATTTATGAATATCGCAATTCAAGGCAGGAAGATATATTCAAAGAATTTAGGACAATCACCTCACTTTCAATAATAAGGTTAGTTTTAAAGAGAACTAAGTGGGATCTGCCCTGTTTTAAGTGCTAGCCAACGACTTTTGCCGTGAGTTTTTATCAAAGAAACATGTCTACCTGATCGGATAGAAAAACTGTCAAAAGTATTAGTTGCTATGATAAACATTGATAGAAAGCCTAGCAACAACAAGTAACCATGTACTATTAACATTTTTGGTCGAACGGAAGAATGCTACCGGTACATGCGTACTGATATATTGGCCGAAAGCAGTATCCATTTTAAACCTGAACTGAAGCTAGCTGATAGACTAAACAAGGCAAAGCATAAGTCTCCTCTAATAAAGCTCAGGTGCACTCCTTAAATCGACAGTGGCAGTCAGAAAGGCGTTTCTGCTTGATTACAGAGCTTACATTAAACTCCTTGCTTCGAGAAACAGCTAGAGCATACCGTGCATAGTAAGACAACCATGACGCTGGCCATTGTACCCTAAGGGAAATTCATCTTTGTAATTTCTTAATGCAATGCTTAATCTTATTGCAAGTCAGATTTAACTCCTAGTTGAAGAAACAAACCTCTTTTGAAGACGCGCCCTTGAAAAGCTCCTATATCTAAAAGAAAATGGAGTTATTTTCCTACCAATTGCGTAAGCGATACCTTAATTAAGCTATCGGATGAAAAATCGGTGGAGATTTCTATTTCCTTAGTCTCTTACATATAGTCACATGTGTACGTTTGTGTGCTGTAACCGGAATTGATTCACACGGTGATTGAGTAATTGCACCCTTTCTCACTTGCCCGCAAATAATGTGGCCCAATGCTCAATGATAATTAAAATAAACCTTAGTCGGCATCGCCAAAACATTTAACGCTCTCTCCTACCGATAATATTGCAAATACTTGTGGATAATGTTATGCGAAGACAACTATTACACTAGGCTGAACTTGACAAGCAATATACCCGATTTTTTCGTTGAAATTACAGGAACTAGGCTGTTGAGTTTGCCAGCTGACATAAATCTCAAAGTGCCTGAGCTCAATGTAAAATCAAGTACTGGGAAATTTCTTGCCAAACAGTCTGATGTACTGCTTGTTCTGATGTTTTCTTATTCTAGCGAAGGTTAATTGTTTATATTTCACATTCCCCTCGCGCGTTTCATTTTCGTTTCAGTTGCTTAACATTTATAGAATGTCATGTTTGCTAGTTGTTCCAACCATTGAAAGAGGACCAGTTGAAAATGCGTTATATAAAGAGCCACTAGGCAGCAATATGTAAACATTTGCTCAAAAAATCAATACAACCAATTAATTAAATGTTTCTATGCATTTATGAAGTAATCTACGGTAAAGTGCAAAGTTTGTACAAATAAACGTCGCCGCCACAAGGCATTTTATTGTTGTTTGAGAAACGGGACTTTATGTTAGGTAAAGGTGTTAAGTAAGCTTGGATTTCACTTTGATAGACCGTATTACCGGAGCGAGCGTACCTTCCGGAGTGACCACAAATGTGTATAGTTACGAACTTTTGTCATGATATGTGTGTGAGTTCATATAGATCAAGAATGGTTTTTATCTTTTGCATTACACACTAGGAAACGCCAAATTCCAAGCGATATTAACACACAGTAAGCTAGCAGTTTTGCTGACATGAAAATATGATCAACTGCACCTGAAATCTAATAAATACATGCTATATTTCTTTTTGCAACCTTGTAATGCAAACATAATTCTCTTCCATGCCCAATCTATCAGCATACATTAAAATGACCTTGATGAAATTAATATTTGCTGTGCTCGTTTTTATTGGCAAACTGTATTTTCGAGGATACATAGTCTTCAAAAATTGCCATAGGTTTCGATTTTCCAATTGTATAAATCGCAATAATACCTCATAAAGATGAGAGTATGCTTTTGGGTTAGGTCAACTATCCAAAATGTTGAAGACTGTCTTTTATCGTATCACTGACTGACAGGCAGCGCATAATTGCACAGTTAAATGTATGCAAGCATAATAAATAGTGTACTGTTTGGCCCCATATGCGGGGTGGTAAGTCTAGCTGCGATTTCATTTACAGTTCTTCTACTCCAGTGTTGAATTTCACCTTTGATTTCGTTATTCGGAGCAGAGAAACAACCGAAGGGTAGCCACGTGCACAGTGGCAGAACTGTGGATTTCATTTATATGACACATGTTACGGCTTAGGACTTTGAAAATGCCGATGATAGTTACAAGTTTTAATCTGAAAAAGCAACAAAAAAAGAATACCAGACAGCACGAGGAACTGAGGCGTTAGTTCCATTGGCGTATTCTTTGCCTGTATAGCTAAACCGAACTGTACTGTCTGTTCCAAAGACTAACACACAATTTAAAGGCTGAGAGCTTCATCGTGTCATAGGGGATTTTAGAAAACCTTTTTAAAGGCATCAGACGGTGAAACACCCCTATACAATTATGAGGTAAGATCCTGTCCTGATGAGAATCTGGCGGCCGAGTGGATTGGACGAAGTGTTTAATCGAATGCCCTGCTTTTGACCGAATTTCATGACTTAAAAGGTTTTTATGAACTACACTACAGATTAGGTAACAGTCGCTGAATTGAAGCATCCAACTATCAGGAGAAAGAATTCTACGTGTCTGCGTCTTCACTGCGTTATCAGAAGTCTTTGGGCCAGTCTTTGAAGGGACAAGAAAGCAGCGTCTGTAAATTTCACTACGCTTTCAAAATGGAGTGCAGTTCAGCCAATATTATGCTTTAATTATCTAAATATTCTCGGTTTTTGAACGTCGAATACCTCAGGTTGTGATGACCAGATGAAATGTCACTTTCCAGCAATGCAAAATCGATGTAACCATGTAAAATAAGGGGACGCATTTTTTCTATAGGAAGTTATATGTGGTTCAGTCATAAGTATTTTACTTTCTATGTGAATTCACACCGCCAATTTTTTAGGTTTTATATTCTGATCACTGGGCCTTGTCATAATTTGATTATTCTTTTAGAAATCTCCGATATCAGATTTTAACAAACCCAATGGACTGTGTAAAACTACGATGGCACCTGTCTTATGGCAGCTAAAGGACCTTTAATGTGATTTTTTACAGCCATGCCGAGAAAACACTCAGGCCTGTCTTATACGAGGCCAGACATGCGATCGAAGATCACTTTATTTCCAAAACTGCATATTAATTTTGGTACCTAGAATTACAATCATTTAAACTTGTAGGAAACCACCGGCAAATGGTGAAAACCTAAAAGTCCAGAGGGTGCACGACTTTACAATTCCACATTTTCGTGCCCATTCCGGAAATATCCACAGCAAGGCTGCACTGCACAGCGTTGTTTGCGTAGGAAACTTCAGGAACCAGTAGATTGGGATTGAAGATAGCACGAAACTCGTAGAATCCGGGCGGAACGTCGGTGATGTCAATCCACTGACAGTCATAGTCATGCAGATAGTAGTCCATGCAGCCCGGACTAATCCCTAAGGCAGTAGAACATCGGTCTGTGAGCAGATCTTGCTGTCATTTTGAAAAAAATGCAATCAGTGCTATTGGCAAGGCTTTATAGAAAATGAAGACTTAAATAAAAATTAAATGCGATTTTTAACCATTGTATGTTATTGGAACACACGCATATAATTTGCAGCGACAATCCACAAATGCAACCGAACTTGCTTTTCGTTAGCCTGTGCCGGCTGACCGGAAGAAGCGATATTTAACGTTCAGGAGTAAAATTATTTAATAGATCGTATATTGCTAAAAAATTTTAATGTTTTAGCTCACTGAAAAAATTGTGTTCATGAGGTCGTGTAGGAGAGACGCTTATTAATCATTTTGCACCAAATATTTGATAAAAATACAAGATGGGTCGCAATATACTGAATGCTGAGTTAAATAATTAAATCATTCTTAATTAGACAGGACTGCAGTGGTGAGGTTGCAAATGCCAGCAAAGTGGGCCATAGTCTGAACTGCGTTCATACGATGCCGCATACCGAGGAATTGCTGAAGGCCTTCGCGGTCTTCACCTTCGAAAAGACTTATTATGTAATATGCACCACACAACCTGTTCTCAGGGCTGATGTAAAATCAATCGCGTTTCGCAGAAAGGAGAAACTGTTAATTGGATTTAACGGGAAGAACAACTGGGCTTTCGATCAGATTTTAATTAACAGAGCTTTTAAACTTCCGCAAGTGTGTTCCTCCTGTTCAATATCCCGGTTTATTAAAACCTGAGACGCCTTTCCTACCTGTTCCAAGATGTTTTGAACGCCAAAATGAAGCAGCACTCGGGCATCAGAGGAAAGGTAATTTGCTCTTGGCTGAAAATCAGCAAGCACCTTCCCAGCAGAATTGTTCGTTTTCTTCAGGTACCAGACTCCGCAAGGAAGTAATAAGCGGAAATATGAATCTGAAACGACTGTGCATTTTCTTTCTGAATTTTAGTATTTGACTAGGGAATTGTGAGTCAGGCTACAATGGCACCTTCTCCAGTGACCCCGTGGCCCACCCACCACTTAGTGTGAAGGCCTGATGTGTGTGTGTGTGTGCTGGAGGCCGGGCCGTGTGCGTCGAGCGCAGACGGGCTATTGAGGTCTGTCAATTGTCTGCACCCAATCATAATATGAGGCGGTTTACCGGCTCGGATGGATATAGGAGTGGGGGAAGGACCTTGAGGTTGACTCAGCGCATTTCCTCTTTATAAACAATCTGACGCGCGTCTAAAATATTACTACGCGCCAGATGTCGTAGGCTGGAGGGCTGCCACCTAACGGAATATCTCAGTTTCCGGAGACTCAGGCTACAGTGGTCCCTTCTTAATGCAGCCTGCATAACACCAACTTAGACGGGGTACCGGCCCACCACTTCTTGTTTATGTGAAAACCTGGAACACCGTGTGCGGACCAGGCGTTTGCGTGTGTGCGTGTGTGCCCCCTAAACGGGCTGCGTGGTAGATGCGCTGGACGAACACGGGGGCCGCCACATGGGATTCTGCCAGGCGTTATCTTGCGCAATAACAAATGCCAACATTCATAGGGTGCGCTGGCAGACCCTGTTTTCGGCAGTCGTCGCACAAACTGGAACCGCTGCCACCTCCCCCCCAATTGTTATGTCGGTCAAAATCCTGGTCATTTGTTGTGTGGACCAGGGTGTGTGGAGTGGAGCGCCAAGGTGCAGATCCGTCCAAGTTATCCACCTGCGGCCTCCCTCATCTGCAGTCTTCCTGACCCTGTCTTGACACGGGGTCTAGGTAGGGAAGGAGAGAGTGCGGTAGATGTAGCGCAAGTTTACCGACACAAGTCACTGCGCAAGTCACCATCCCTGCAGTTGGGCATACGGTTGACATCATTGGATGCGACGGTCGAACTATCGTGTATGTGTGTGTGTGCCACCCACTGATGGACCGTTTACTTTGGTCAGCCACTGCGCCCGATCCTACCCCATGCGCCCTGACTTAATATTGTTATCGGACTGGGGAGAATGAGGATGGTAGATGCGTCGGGAGTCTGCTATTACCGTAAACGATTTCACTTGCAGGTAACCATCTCTGCACCTCGTATGCTGTGGTGCAAACGATTGACATCATTGTAGTTGATGATGGAAATGTCAGAGTAGATTTGGTCGGATCTAACTTTGTGGTCGTACCCGCAGTAGACAAGACCTGGCCTACCTCCTAATCCCAAACCTCACCCTTAACCTTAACCCCTAACCATAACTCCTAACCCCAACCACTAATCCTAACCCCTAACCACTAGCCCTAACCTCTAACAGATACGGCTACGAAATAGGATCATACCGTTGATTTTATCAACTGATCGATACTCGATTGAAAAACCTACAAAAGATATGTGACGGGGCTAGCAAATTGGAAAACTATACGGCTTCCGTATCTTACCCGGCTGTAATTTGGAGCGTTGTCTATTGCTGGACGCCCGCACTCAATATGATTAAATTTCAAAAACGTGGATTGCGTGGTGTCAACCTAAACTTTGATTTTTTAGCATCAGGCTTCGAACTGCATCACTTCCTGACGAGAACAGTCGAAACACTAGCACGGAGAGGACTTAATTTCCGTGTACGGTGAATTGCAAATAGTGTATCTTGGAAAAATTAACTATCCGAAAAGTAGGTTTTAACAATTGCCCATGTCAATGGGGTTTTTTCTTCTAATTACGTTTTTTTTCTAGGTAAAAATAACAGAGCCGGAAGTAAGAACCTCGTCACCAATGCCCGTGTAGCAGTTTTGCGTTCTGAATTAACCGTTAAGTGCTCTCAACGTAACAAAAGCTGGCGGATTGGAAGAGAAGAAGAAACGGTCAATGAACTAGGACTTCAAATTAACAAAATTTCGACAAACGTCATTGAACTGCTGACGTGTCTAAAAATAAACGATGCTTTATGAAATAATTTTGCGCACAAAACTGAAGAGACGCAGAGACAACACGTTTCTCAAGACCGCCTGATTACTGTTTGTCTTGCCTTTTTGCTTGTAGTGAAAAACTAAAATGTAGTCAGAATCTCTACTCACTCCTCGCAATTAAGTAAGTGATGCGCAACGTCAGCCACGTATGCCTGCAATCGATTCTCTTCTATGATTGTCAGAAATTGCAGCAAGCATAAAGTAAAAAGACTTGTTGCGAGCAGTTCTTCAGAACCCCCAAGCCGGGGACGCCCAAACTTCCTCAAAGGCTTGAGAGTCGGTCAGAAGAATGGGCACTTTAAAATTATTGTCTGCTATTTGACAATAGTTAAAGAAAGTTGCAGCACTAACCTTGGTCTCCGCGGATACTGAGCGAGGTGGAGCAGACGAATTTTTTCTTATAACCAGGTGCGCATTCACTGTCCTCCAAACAGAAGCTAGCTTTATGACCCACGGCCAAAACGCGGTTTTTGGAGTCAACGATTTCGTAGGAGGAAAACACCTTCATGCTGTGATAGTGCCTGTGGCAAGGATCAAACACGGCCTTTTATAAGAGTTATGGAAATAAGTGATTAACTGTAACTCAAAAAGCTCGAAACAGGGCTATATTTTATAAAACAAAATGCACGCAAAACGCGATATTTCTTAAAACTGTTTAAGGTGCTTTACATACATAAGGCTTCTTCCTGTTCCGATCAGTTGCATAACCTAACATTTTGTAGAAATCGCGCAAAATGACGAAAAATATTAGGCTCTTATTTGCTTTCTCCTTTTTACAGCTATCGTTAAAATAAAGCCTTGAAAAATTGCCGGTAGGATTGCTTGTGTTCAATAGCTCGATTGAAATAGTTAACAAAAATACCTTTTCTTATTTCCTATATCTAGGTGAAAAATAGAAAGTCACTTGCGAATATGAGCCGTTTAGGAATTAAGCTAAGTATGACCTAATTATATAATTGGAGATATGCTTGTGAGCTGTCTTGCGACTGTCTTGATAGGACGTATTATTTAAGAGTTATGAGATTGCGCGCCCCTGAAGGGTAGTTACTGCTTATGGATGAGAGTCTATTCGCTTAACTGAGACTAGTTTAATGCTCACTTTTGCTACAGTTGAGCCATTTGTAAAGCATTCGATCCGCGTCCAGGCGACAGAGTAATTAGCGCACAGGCCACTTTGCGAATATTTCCATATAAGTCTAGGTGTTGCTCCGTATCTTACGCCATAAATCGAAAAGTGTGCCAAAGAATAGCCAAAATCTACCTTTTAGCTACCGACATGTTTGATGTTGGTTCTCGTCCAGTATCATTTATATTTGATTGGGCAAGTACTCTAACAAGGGCTTTTTAAAGCAGAACTCACAATGGTTAAATAATGGTGAATTTCAAGCAATCAATGATGCCTAACCAAATAACTTGTTGAAGTGGCGCACTAGTTCTTATAATCCAGCATGCGAGCGAAATGCTTAGGCGATTAGATCGTCAGAATCGTCGAGTCTTTTCAGCATTACATGTAAAATGTTTCTTTACGATCACCTGTAGTTTGCTGACTAGAAAATTAATTACCACTGACCTCTTCAATTTCATCCCGGGCGGTAGGAAAATTTACTAAATTCTTCGTGCGGTTTTTGATCTCGTGGCTAAAACACTCAATCGGAGGTTTACCAGCAGGCGCGTGAAACGTTAATCATGAACCAACATCACCAATCTGATTAATTGTCCCCCTTTTAGGGTTTAAATACACATGAAATTGCGTTCGAACAAACTCAAAGTGGTCTAAAACGAATTTGTCATATCTTTGTTGATGCTGGCTGGGCGTATCCATTTGGCTTCATCAGATCGCAAAAACAGAAAATTGGGTTAGTTAACAGCTGTGTGCTAGATAACTCGAGCACGCCCTTTGATGATGAGCCGAACGCATGTAAGGGTAATGCAGAGGCTTCCATTTTTAAACACCTGGATATTGTGTCAGCATGTTTAACATTTAGAACACCGTTGGAATAAACATGGCCATTCTTCCAGTACTAGTGGCCTGAACCGCCCCTTATATCTTGGTTATTCTAACTTCCAGACCACACGTACCCCAAACAAATGATTTTGACAAGCGTGCTGGTGGGATCTAAGCATTAACCGGTAATGGTATTCTTTATTAATTTAATCCAAGTTAATAACGTGAAATGCGCGGTGGGCATTCTAATCCTGCACAGCGCATTTGAGATCGCCCGACTTGCAGAAAAACCTCGTGCAAAAATGATAAGTAAACTGCTGTGAAATTACCCAATATATGGCACAAATGAATTGTATCCGCATTCAGAACTACGTCGTTCTCAATTCAGCAAGATAATTCTACGGTGATGCAGGAGGCATACTTGATGCGGTAATTTTTGCATACCTTTTTAATGGGCAAGATGCCGCCTCTAAGGTAAAAAAAGGATTTATTATTACTGCGTCTGGCAGTGCGTGTTTTTTCCCTGAAAATGTTGTGTACATTTCTGTAGTGCTTTAAATTTGTGAAGATTTCCTGTGTAAACGAAACTTGCTTGGGTAATGGATTTTCTGTTGTCCGAATACTTAACTTTTCAAAGAAATTGGCGTTCATCAAGGGAGACTTACACGTTGTTTGACGGTAAAAATGACGGCATCGGCTGCCCATTTTCAGAGACTAGAGAAGCTCGGACGAGGCCCTCATCAATTGACGTCTATTTTAGATCCGTAGGTCATTCACGTTGATTGTGACTCTGAGTTTAATCCCGTTTCACTATGAAGTGTGTCAGCCGACCTCTGCTGACTGAAGCAATGATTGGCGTACCCGATTGATTTTATCTCTCCCCTTCGTCTCCCCTAATCCCTCTGAACATTCCTTTGCATAAGATAGATTATGGTTATGGCGAGCTTTTATGAACAACTCTTGTTTCATCTAAACTTGCAAAGTGAGCAAACTCTTTTGACGTGCACAAAAATACGTCATTAAATGGGCTCAGGCGTGCATCTAGCATCCCGTCGCTTATAATACACCTTAACTTACTAGCGTGCGATTTTATGCAGACTGCAAATCAATGCGTCCAGCATTTTGAAGTAATAAAACCTTGGCTAACACGATGTTTAGTGACAGAAACGGGAACACTCGGTTGTTCTGCTACGTGCGCCAACTACAGCACCTAAAGTCAAACACTGGTCAGTAGGGCTGTGCAAAAAAACATTTCAATGACATTTAAAAGACACACATTCACGAGGTAGGAACTGTTGTCACCGCATAGAGGAGCAAGTGTGTGTTTTTAAAATTTGGTTCGAATTTTAAATGCCAAAATTTAAACGTTAAGGGCCAAACAGTCCCCATTCCAAACTAAGAACGCCACGTAGAGCGTGTGGCATGGAGGAAGAATTTGCTCTGTGAATTTAGTTAACAAAGTGGTTTCCTAGTATAGAGAGTTTCGTTCGTACAAGACCAGCGTAGCTATTTGAAGTGCATTAGCAGGAAAATTATTAAAGAGACAATATGACAAAGCTGTTGATTTGGGAACATGCAACTAAATCAGTTTCCGCACGCTTTTTCTCAAAAATCTGTCTCGTTTTTTTATAAATTACACTTAAAAATGTAACCACCACATTATAAATTGTGTTTATGTATTCTACAGCCTTTCAACGCCCACATATATTCAATCATAACTTATGAAGTAAGTATATGAACAGGTCGCTTTTTATTCCCAATTGATAGGAAATTACGACGTACGCTAATTCGGTAATTGGAAAAACGGAGTATTTTGGTTTTGTTAAAGTGTGTTAGCAAGCAGAAATGCAACGCACACATGACTGCCCAGACAGTCAACCATCTCCAGGTTCGCCAGCAACTGACGTCAGTATTTTTAATAACAGCAAGATGACTTTTACACGATCATAACTGCTTATGCGAATTTGCTTCATAGGGTTTTTATGTTGGATATCTTCAAAAAGCCTAAGATAGGCATTAATTGCTACGTATTCCATGAAGCACCATACATTTACTTTTAAACAAAACGCTGTTATCGGTAATATTTCCACTAACAGGTGTGCTATGCATTTTTGTAAAGTATTAGTGGTAGAGTACACCAATGCAGTAGGTTTTAACGGGAGTTATGTCCACCGGTCAAGAGGATTTGGGTCGGTCAAAATTGACGTCACATCTTTCAAAAACTAGTTTGATGATTGGCTTGTGTTCAATTTTTAAGTTCGCTCTCTCGGTACTTTCTATTTGAAAGTCCGATTAGTAGGCTCGGTCAATCTCTAACGCGCTACCGCGAATGAGATGCATTTTGGTTTTGCGAACCCTGCCATGGGTTCACACTGCTTCCGTATTTGCGGAAAATATCTGTCAAGATCGCTCAGATACTTTGGAAAGGCGTTGAGTGTAGTGATTTTAGGCGCAATGGGTGTCAGAAAGTTCTGGAGTTCAAAATGCCCTTGGTAAAGGATTTCGTGGCTGTTCTCAACGCACGACTAAAAATATCGTCCAAAAATTCCTTAAAAGTTGCTTGCTGGATATTAAAGTGTAATGAATGTGCGGCATTTTTAAAATGCAAAACAGCTTGAATACATTCTGTGAAACTGTCTAGACTGCAGATGCTTCGACTTATAAAAAAACCAGATTAAAAGTGCGTTTGAACAAATGTGCTCATCTAACCTGCAAAAAGTGAACTCAAAATTTCCTGACGTTCTTATTAAGGCTTGCGTTAAATTATAAGTCCAAAACACTGAATCCTCTTTCGAATTGATTTGGAACTCATTTGCATCTTTGTTTATTTAGTCTTCAAAATGATGGGTTTGGATTTTCATGCTGAATTAATTAAATACTTTCGCATGTTCCCTTTTCCAAGTTCCTTTAAAAACAATCAGGGGATCGAGCATCAACTACCTCTAACTTATCATTAGAGCATATCGAGGACAAGAGCAAACTGTCGATCACCGTGAACGATTCCCTCCTCAAAAAATGCATAATTGTTATACTCAGCCTATGCGATATGTTTTGAAGTCAAAATAGCGTTTGCTGAGCCTGTAGTGTAAATTCACAAACTGCGTAATTTTTGAACCAAATGGCCGTAATGCAAACAATGTATTATTTTCATGTTTATTTGTTGCATACAAAAATTGAGACAAATTTCCTGTAAAAATCCATAAAGACATCTTTCACTATAGTTTATGATCAGTTTCGCCATTTTCCAATGCAATATTTGATAGGAGTTTATGCCTGTTTAAAGGGTTTTAATAACGCTTGCGTCTGTTGAAATAGAGCTTCGGTGTTCTTCTTTGAGGTCCATTTTAAAGACTACTTTGAAAATTTCTCAAGATATTACTATAGTTATTGTCTTTCTGGGTAGACATTCTTTGTATTAACAGCCGTTTACATTCGATAGGGCGTAAATTTCTATAGAGTACAAGCATTGCTTAAGAAGTTGAAGTATGCAGTACGACTGGTCCACCATTGACTGTCATGCCTGAACACCCGCGAGCATTTTAAAGGCCAAATTGCATCTTGTCTCCAAATCTGAGTGCGAGGCAACTTTTAATGAACTAAGTATATAAAGAAACTATATATATTTCACAAAATATACAAGAACTAATCACCACTTAAGCAGCAGTAATGTCATCATGAGTACGATTGACACACATGGATTGAAGAAGTTTCTGTTAAAAATCCGCATTCCACATAGCTTGCTGTAACATGAAATTCTGCTTTTGGTTAATTAGTATGAGAGTCTCACCTACGCAAACGCCTCCTTTGACAGCTTGTCGGGTCATTTTCCCTAAAACTCCCTGCATCGTGGTGCGCAGTGTACCCTGCGTCTGTTAAATTGGAGAAACAAATTTAAACACGTTGCTCGTTTCATCATACTGACAGCAGAGGTGCTAGTTAAAAGTCCAGAGCACTGTTTCGCCGATTTTCTCACGCTTTAGGACACAGTTGTGAGGGATTTCTGCTCATGAAAGACTCTCCCAGCCGTCCCCCGTAAGCCTTCTGATGCGTCTATATAACCTCCTCAGAATTCAATGCTCTCAGACAGAAGTTGCTGCAACTATTTGGTCTGAAATGCATCAATTTCGGCGGACTATCCGCCGAATATTCATAAACCTCCAGCAGGCACCTAGTAGAATACATGTGGTGCAATGCGCGATGTATCATAGGTCTGTTGAATCGGGGAAACAAACGTATGTGCTGCGACTGATACTTACGAATGACAGGCATGCCAAACCCACTTCTCTGGTGGTAGAAACGGCTTAAAAGGCCTTGTTCCGATGTTGTGAATATTGGAAGAAAAGCGCAGCAGTCGGCGTTGGAAGCCCAGCACTCGGCGGGGTTGTCGACTAAACAGGCTGTAAACAACTGGAGGGAAACAGTTCTCTTCCAACGCACAGGTAACCTGAAAGAGGGGTACGGTTTGCACTCGAGCGGACTGCTCCAGAGCTTTGGCATCCGGGAAAAGGTCAGGAAGGCCTAAAATAAAGATCAATGCTTTTGCTTTAACCTCCTACTACGCGACTCCAATTTCATCTACAAGCGTGAAAATGCAAGATAAATGTTTGTATATCTTTTATCTGTGCCTCTTTACCCCCCACAAAAGGCCACGTAAGAGATGAAATAGCGGGGCACCACGAGCTTTAAATGAGCCGCGCAAAGTCCGCGCATCACAAAACAAATGCCGCACATCGGAAGAGATGTGGTGGTACACCTTGTTGCGGGTTCCCGCCGTTCCAGTCAATTGTGTTATCAAATGACTGACCGGCTCAGTCAATGGACTGATGCCTGGGAGAGGGAACAGAGAGTACGGCCGGCTTTGGGGATTGATGATTTTTCATCACAGACGAAAGAGCTCACTTTACTCTTCGTAATGAAATCATTCTTGTCGCATTTGCTCCCATCTATGCTTGATTATGTAATTAGTAATATCCTTTAGAGTAGTTATATAAACTGCCTTTTCCAATCCAAACAGTTCAAATTCCCTAGACACCAGATAAAAAAAGCGTAACTTTTTTTCTAACTAAATATGGGAAACAAGTGTTTTTACACATAGCTTTTAAAGTATTTCTAAATCTATGCAGGCGCCGAAAACGAATGGCAAAACCTTAAGTAGTTAAGCAGTGCCTTTTTAAGTATAATTCAGTCAGGCGATTGAAAGGCCGGTTAATCGCTGGACAGCCAAGACCTGTGAAATATTTCCTGTGATATAAAGATGCCATCTCACCTGAGTGATAGCAAGCAGTAGGTTGAACCAGCAAGTTAGTCAAAAGGCTGGTTATAGATGCAAAAAATAAACGCGTCATTGCAAAATGCTGGTAAAATGCCGGCCTAAACTCTTAGTCCCCGTCTGTAATCTAAAACCACCCGTTGAGCATTTATATACTTCAGATGGCATGAAGTGGTTCGCTCTACTAGTGGCTGTTTTGCAAAGGAGGATGTTAACGGTCAGATCTAGCAAAAGGTGCTTTATATAAGAAGGCTGTCGGAGATGTACATAAATGTGAACAGGGTAGATATTCTATTCTAGTTCCCTTTGACTATGCCGGCAATATTTATTTGGCCTTTTTATATCACTTAGATGGAAACCTAGGTAAGCCAACCTATTTGCCGCCAGATCGACAGCAATTTGACTATCGAACAGTATTTTGGGTGGCCTTGGTGCTATCTAGAAGTCGTCCCGTAGCAACAGTAATCGTTATCGATTTTTAGGCATAAACAATATCAAACACGCGAAAAACTTGCAAAAATTACGGCGAAAAATGTATGTGGAACCGCCATACGAGGGCGAAAGAGCGGTTGAACTAATGAGCAACCGTCTTCTGAATTGTTTTCCCATTTGTGGTCATGAGTTATCAGTATCATGCGGTCCGCATATATGGTCCTGATTCGTCTAAGCTGGATCGAACTCCCATCACGGATTCGTCCGACATATAATTTTTCTTTTAGTTAGCAATTAAACTTGACCTTGCTAACATTTGCGTGTCAAGTCCACTTCTAGAGCGGATACTGGAGGCAGTATCGGTGTTTCCGTTGTCCTGATTACAAGGCTGAGAGGCGAATATACAAAGTCCAGCACCTGAACGACTGACCTTCAGACAAAAAACAACACCACTAGAGTTTACGTGTCCTCCAAGGAGAAGGGAATATCGAACCCAGAAACGTCCAGCATTACTTCTTCGCATTGGAACGGGTGATCCAAAGCAATAAATATTTTGCTATCGTTGTAGCTCCTTTACCAAAACGCACCGCGTACTGTCCTTATACGTATAATCGGACTCTTAGTAAAGAAGACCACTGAAGAATAATAATGTTTCATTAGGTGCTCTGTGCCAAATAATAGACGATCCTGTATGAGCAATGAAGAGAATATGATATATTTCACGTCTTTGCAGTAATAATTTAAAAACACATTATGGAGTCCGTCAATGCTTATCCCACCGGTAATAGTTAGGGCAGTTTTTTCAACTAATGCTGTTATTCTAACTCCCATACAGGAGAGCCCAAAAGACCTGTGCGACCTTTCCTTTATAGTTTCTAGGGCTATCATGTAGTTTTTATCTGCAGGACTCCAATATGTTAGATTGCTGGATCATGACTTTGGAGTATGTCATATGTAGTTGCATTCGAAAATCTGGCGCTGTGAACGGGTTATGAATGCGGAGCGACATTGTAAATAGTCCCGAAGGAAGGCGAAGTTTTGGCATCCGTATGTGCAAATATGAGTAAAAAAGACGAAGACTGGGGGCGCACCGAAAACATTCGTTTTGACAGGAGTCCATCGTCAAGTATAAAGGAAAAACAAAACGCCAAAACTAAACTAATAGGGAATATTAGCAAATTTTTCATGAAACTCCGATGCCCCTCACTGTCTGCAGATAATACAGAAACGGTCCTAAAAGAGCTTAAAGCACTGTCTGAATCCAACAGTAGCCCTTAGTTTGTGGTCAATAAAGTACCCGGATGCAGAGCCCTGTTCAATCACCTCGTCACCTGTGTCGTCGATTATTGTTTGACTATAATTTTCCCTTGTTCTACTCTCAGTTTTACCTCTAACAGTGGACTCCTGCAAGAGCACGAAAACTCCCAAAAATTAAAAAAATGGTTCCCGTGCTCGGTCGGTATTCATCGTTCTTTCTCTTTGAAAATATTGATCAAAAACCCGTCGATTTTCGTTTGCTCCCAAAGTGCCTTGGAGGCGGTTTCTGACAAGCCATACAATTCGCAAAAATGGATGAGTTGAAATACTTCTTGCAACTTTGTCTTTGTCGACGCGTTCATGTTCGTAAGAAATACAGTTTTTATCTTCTTTACATGTTAATGTCGATCTATGTTTTGTGTTATATTAAAAAATGGGTTTTGTAAAAGCTAACTTTTAAATTACAAAAGATTATCTTGAACCCCTTTCGATCTATTTAGATTTGTAACTGAAAGTGTTTTTGAAAAATGTATGTGCGCAACAGCCTCACTGCATATTTAACGGACCAACTTTCTTGGGCGCATCCAATGACCTTGCTTATGTGCACAGAAAGGCTATAGTTAGTAGCTCGTTTGAAACATCTGAGGGAAAAAGATTAAACAGTTTCGTTTTTAGAAAAACCGTACTGACATGTGACTGATTTTGCCAAGCCTTTCGACTGCCAATGAATTATTTCTGCATATTCCATTTAGGATGTTCGGCTTCTCACTGCACCTTGGAGGGGGAAACGTTGATTACTAAGACGGCTTGATCTCAGGCAGATCGTGCTAATTGGCGTTTGCAATATCAACTAGATGCACTAAATTCACATCCAGGCTTTGTTTGAAGGTTACATAATTTGACCTTAGGGGAACTTTCCAAGCAAACCACAGAAAGTTTATAAGAAGCATAATATGCATTGGATTCTTTGGATGCAAAATGCAATTCCAACTTTTTTATGTAATTAAAGGCCTTGTATTGGCAAAAAACCTGGTCTTAAAAAACTGGATATTAAAAGGCGATTCCTGATTAGTTGCTCTCATCTTTTTTGAGGAAGGACAAAAGGCGATAGATGCTGCGGAAGTCCACTGGCACAGCAAATTAAGTTCCTCACAACCCACCCTATCTGCGTTATCCCACTGCCGTACTCTGGGGCACATGGTGGACATCGAAAGATTTACTCCAAGTTCGCGCATTAATTTCCTGGGAAATTAAACAAAGCAAGTTGAAACTGGAGTTCATATACCAGAAAACACACGGGGAAAGCTGGGGGACCCACTGGCGAGCCGAACCCCTCGCAGCTGCGTCAGGCAGAGGCACAAGATCGGCGAAACACGCGTATCTGGGCTTTTAGCTAATACCTGTGTTGTTAGTACGGTAAATCATTGCACAGTTCTATACTACTGGCTGCCTGTTGGCGGTTTGGGAATATTAAGCGGTTATTCCGCAGTAGTTGATGGATTTCAGCTCAAATATTCATATCAAAATTTGGAGCGTGCCTGAAAAGGCCCGTTTCGAAAGATTTACTCCAAGTTCGCGCATTAATTTCCTGGGAAATTAAACAATGGTGGACATCGTCGACCGCTATACTTGAACTGTCCTATCCGACAAATACTGCACCATTCATGCGCCCATTAATTTTATTTGTTGTTTATGCAAATGCGTCCGAGTGTGACTCTGGGAACGGCCGACGAATAAGATTACTCTTCCAACTATCGTGTCTCGTTCCACCGGGTTTGTGAGTTTATCCCTTTAGTCGGATCTGCGGAGGACCGCTTGCAATTGACAGCCCATTACCTCATTAGTGTTTCTGGCAAAGTTTAATAGTTCACAGTAATCAAGTTGTGAAAAGTCGAAGGCCTGGGTGGAACTCCACCACCACACGACAGAAAATTAAGGGCTTCAGCGCAGCCAACGCTCTAACCACCTGAGCTGAGAGGTCCCGCCGTGAACCGTGAATTCAATCGCATTAACTTTAATTATAGAAGATAAGTAATACTACAATGACTAGCAGTAACTAAGGATCGTGAATTTAATCATGTTTCGGTCGTTATTTGCCCATTTTGCCACATATGTTGCAAAGATATAATTCTTTCTGTTCTGTAACAAATAAACCAACTTATCTAATGGAAAAAATCTGAGGCTGTGGTAGTCGTTTACATATTCAACCATATTTTCGATGCCCACAAATTAATAGGGTACGCATCAAGTAGTACATAATGCTGTCCCACACGCAACCGCTTCGAAGATTCGCAATCACATTTTGACGACGGGTGCAGCCGTAGTGAGTTGGCTGAGGGAATTTTGTAAACTAAAACGGTATGTGGGTTTTCCTTTCGGTCTCCGTGGTCTGAAAATGATTCATCCATGTGCTAATTACCAAAACTACGTAGTGCCGGAGCAGCGGATAAGCTTATCTGATCACGTATATTTGACCATTCGTTGTAAGCAAGGCAAAGTCAGAAGCATAGCACTGGACGGTTACCCTCGCGAGCCCTTAGGAAACATGTATTGGACGGCAGCGTTCTGAAGTTTAAAAAATCGTTCTTCTTCGCATGCGTCCAAAATAGTCATCAGCATGGGTATTCTTTGTGTTGCAAAAAATCTTGATAAGTTTGGGGACTGGAGGCCTTGGAGGCAATAAAGTCTCAGTTTATTAAAATCCTTCACTCGACAGCGACAGAAAGTTCAAGCAAAAAATTCAGACGCTTTACCAAGTCGCTCTTAAAGAAGCCTTCCGAATGCACAAAACTGACCATTGACGTCGGTCAAGTTTTGTAAATGCCTTCAAATATTTTTTGTGAAGCAAGTTTTTTCTTCGGTGGCGGGAACGGTCAGTTTTTTTCCGACTAGATGGACAAGAATTCATCCATCGACTGCAACATTAACTGCTGCTTGTCCCGGAAAAGTGCGCTAGCTTGTACGCGGACCACCTCATAACAAATAAAATTTGGTCAATATCAGGTTAAAGTGACTGAATATGATTAAAACGTCGTGGCCAAACATAAAGCCAATCTTATCCTTCCGATCTGGCGAACGAAATTTGGTCCTTTAAGGGAGCATAGGCACAGTTACCTAACTTGCGTATTCTGTTTGTCTGGAATTATCATAAAGCCATCATTCCTAGTGTCCAATCGCCGAATGCAACATCGCTCTCGGAGACAGCATCAGTCACTGCACACCGGACGCGTGCAAACTACAAAACTTATAATTCAGAACTGATTGCCTTGAATTGACAATATGATTGTTAATCTGCAGCTCAGGTGGCTTTACTCTCGGATGGTGGCACCTCTTAACTAAGAAAAGACTTAGAAGTATGGTGATAGACCGTGCAGACCTATTAAGATGCAAAAGAGAAAATGGGAAAATGATAATTCGGGTCCCTAACCATACCTCTTTGACGAAGGACTTCATGCTCAGTAGTTGTACAAATGAAATATTAGTCCGCGCGATTGTGCAGAGTAAATTTTAATAAAGAGAAGTTGGTGTTGTATAAAAGCGAACGAAATGGACAACAATCAGCAGACAGAACCGTCAGTATTGTTTTGAAATCTACAGCAGAGCAGGAAATTGTTGAGAGGCAAATTATGTGTGGCTTCAGACCACTTGTATGCATGTGATTTGCAGATTTCCCCCCACTGCAAAAATTCGTTTGTTTGACGGCCCAAATTTCCAGTTACAGACGTCAGTGGGGCAAAAACAAAAGTGGCTCATTTATGATGTTTAGTGCTTCTTTTTGAAGCTCGATAGTCAGTCTTGGATTTTAGCCTATGATGTCAACTTCACGAAGGGCGCCAAAAAATTGCAGTTGATTGCATATTTCATGTATTAACGTCTGCATGCTCTGTGTACGTCTTTCCGCCGGTCGGTTCTCAGCCGTGTTTTTTTAAAAAAAGACCCGCTTTTTAACATGTTTTGCGCCCGTAATAATTCTATCGAAATACGTTATCCACTGGTCTCATTGCAGAAGAAAACAGACACAGTTGGTGATTGTATGAGGTGGTCGTTATGCTTGCGTCACAGGTCCCTTCCTGCTTAGAAATTTCGCTTAGTTGATGATATTGGGCTCACTAAAATATGAGTAGTTGACTCATATTGAGTTATGTCGTACTATCTGTATGATACCTAAGGTTATTGTTATGAAGCTTAGACGACGAAAGCAAAGAACACTAGAATAGTGATATCTGGCTTATTTTCTTATCGGTCATATACTTTTCATCCCTTTGTTGTTGGCAAAGAAGTCTCACGACTGAGCTCCAAGCTTTAAAAGAACCATCTTTATTTTTTCCTACAAACCGAAAAAAGCGAATGCCGGTTCCATACAAAGTGCGCTTCGACTTCGGTAACATGATTCACTTGCCATGATGCAAGGTGACGCCCGTTAAGTACTCTTTCTGAAGGATCGGCCTGTAGTTCTGATATCAACAGATGTCGACCCGATTCATCGCGTAGTGGGAAAATTTTTTATTATGTTCTATCTGCCAGGACACCTGACAAAAACGTTGGTCATCCCGTCATATGCATTGACCGGAAAATCAAACTCAGGTTGCACATAGAACGGCCCACTAATATCACCCTTCCCCGACTACTGGCAACCGTTTAGGGGTGTATGGAAAAATTTGTGCCAAAATAAGCACTAATATATCAAAAAGCCGCTTTCGTACAGCCTTCACCACTTCAAATCGGCTACTCTGCTTGCCTTCTAGATTCTACTTAAGTCTGCTTGTAGTTTAGATTTTCAGCAGCAGCCTATTCAAACCCATAACCGGCCCTATGCTGATAATAATTTTATCGTCAACTTGAGACGTTCGATGTAAACCAAGTAGAACCTTTGCTCATACAATCTACTTTCATCCACGATCCACGACAGTGGGGGTCAGCTAGTTTATATAGCCAGTCGTGTTTATCGACACAGTTAATTCAGCAGAGCTACCCGGAGCAAAATGGACGTAGCCAGTTGCAGGCATTTTGCTATTTACCTCAACAGAACCCTATTGTCAGACAGGACTTGCAGTCAAAACTTTAATGAGAAGCCAGGAGGCGGGAGCTATGAGGCTTACCATCGGTGCAGGATACGGCGATTCCGATTGACTGGTTCTTACACAGAACGCCATCCGATGACGCAAAAGTGGTACACTCGTTGAGGTCCGTTTCATTACCGAAGCAGTGTCCAATTAAAAGCAGTGGAGCCTTTTTCGTGAGAGCAGGATCCTTAAGAAGAACCTATTGGGGGCGGGGGTGGTGAGGAAAGTACCGCACGTATTTTATCGTTTGAGGAGGAGCAGAGCAAATTTTTGTCCTTCGACAGACCTCTATGGCAGCTACGACCGGGGCGAGTATCTAGACATGACCACTTCAAAATGCGCAATGGTATTTAAATGGCCACATGCAGTGGAAGACGAAAATACTCGAAAACTTTGAGTGTTTGTAGCATCAAATGACATTGGTTAGACTGCTGGATACATACCTTAGATTTAAATATACTCCATAAGGATGAACACACTTGGCCATAACATTATCAAAGAAGTTAGTGGAAAATCGCTAATAGCTCCCTCTCTATTCACCTGACTTCTAACTTTTGAGTCGCTCTTTGGGGTAGAGCTAATAAATAAAAGTGGGCCGTTGAACTCCTTATACTAATTAGAACAGAGATTAACTTATTTTTGAGGGGTTGTTTAAACAGCTGTAGGAGAACCGAATTTTGGCGGAAACCAATATTTGGTATTCATGATACGGTCAAAGTCCCACATGACAGTTTGACATACTAAAACACAAAGCCAAAAGTCTTCTAAGTTACAGACTTATTTTAACGACAACCTCACAGCAAAGAATGATCCAACGGTAAGTAGTGTCGTGGAAGTCTCGTAGAAGCTCGCATCTCCGAGCAAACAAGGGCGTATTATTTTGGGAAATAAGTTGGTTATAATGAAACTTTAGACAGCTGACTGACAAAAGAGTATTATCGACCAACACAACACATATGGGTGGCTGCAGTACGTAACCTATCTAATGAAATCTGATAACGGAAACTGATGAGAGAACTTCTGGACGCCTTTAACGTTGAGCCTTCTGTCTGCTCATCGACTTCCTTTAATAAAATGTCCTTTTCTTGTGTAAAAATTATGTTTACGAATTTATATCAAGTACAATATCAGTAAATTTTAGCAAAAATGGACGTTAGAATATATTCGTGTAATTTCCTTTGCTAATACATGTCCTAAATATACAAAAAATGGCATGTTCTTACGTTCACGGTAGAAGAAATATTAGTATTTCTCGGGAACGCGAAAGGAACGGCCAAAAGTGTCATATTTTTGATTGGCCTCGCCGTGCACAAATGCAAAGTACACAGAGATCCGTCAACGGGGTGTACTAATAGAGCCGTTTCTTAAGAGGTAACTTATTAAGGAAAGTTTTCTTATTGATTGAAGGCATATTCGTTGTTGTCTTTCGTTCTGGACAGTCATTTTTTTTCGAAAATGAAGTTTGATGTTTGAATGAGTCTTCACATGTGACCTAAACGACCATCTTCGTGAGAAGGAGTGCCCGAACACTTACTACTTCGGTAAATGCCTTCAAGAATAATTTTAGTTGAAAGTTCTCAACAGACAGTTGATTCAGAATCTGTCTTTGTGGAAGATCGGGTGAATAAACTGAAAATCATGAAGTATTCAGCAACATTTCGAGGCCGATCTGAAACTCGACGTAATCCAAAACGAACGAGAAGGGTAAATTAATTTAACGGAAAAAAGGTTCTTTCTATAAACACAAGATGGTATGTTTACGATCACGCCTGTCAGTTCTATTTAAATTTATTAGGCGTTGACTGGCCTCATGGTATGTCACCTTATGAAGACTTTTGTTCATACGACGTCCTCATCGGTGAAATCAAGCAAAATCCAGCTTCTCTTGTTAAACCCCATCTCATTAACTTCAGGGAAATAACATAAAACAGGAATCACTGAAAAACTGCTTTGGAATCTACACTCAAAATGGAGCACTTGAAAACAATCATATATGAACTCACACTACTTGTTTAACGATACTTAGCTGAAATCTTCACTAGCACACTGTTATTAAACGTTAGTTTATGTCTCCTATCATATTTATCACGTTTTTGTTATGAGAATACATTCTGTACATCTAAAAACGAACTTTACTTAATTAGAGCCATTTCTGACGTTTTCGGGATATTGCGCTTTTCAAAATAAATCGGCATTTCTAAACAACGCTACACTGCCTATAATATTTCTTTTATGTTTTTAATTATTTTAAACTTGTACTTAATTAAAGTAGACACTGGACTCATAAAATAGTGTCGTCTTGCGAGTGATTGGCAATTATTCGTTCATTTCGACACATTTCATGAGTTAGGTCACTTACTGTACTTCTGGCTTGTTGGCAGTCAGTAACCTGCAAAACCACAACACGGGTGACAAAAAAATCAGACTTTTGATAACGAAGCCAGTTATTTATTGAACCTGCTGATATCTCGCGTTTGGACAATTATGGAGTTTAAATTGCAGACCGTTCATGTCTCTGCGTCCACAGACGAGGACCATCGATTGGAACTTAAAAGCGAAGCGGAAACGTGTGTTTCAGAGCCGGTGGCCGACCTAAGCTTATGCGTTCTTTAAGATGTTGGACAAAATATTTTGTTGTCCAAGAGTTGCATAAGAAAATTTCTGGCATTTAGTAATCTGCACTAACCTTTAATTTGGAGTAGAAGAAAAGAATGTTGGGTAGATCTTGACGAAAATTCGTTGAATCTAGTACTTTCAGCGTTAATTAGCAGTGCTTATTTTACGCCGAATTACGTCTATCGATGCATGCCGGCTAAAGGATTTCCAGACAACCTGACATTACGACAGGCATGATATTTCTCTGATGGCGTGATATCAAGCCTCTGGATTATTTGTCAACCCTCCCCCTTTGCACACGGAACTCCATCATTCCCACCAGCGCACCGATCACAAATGTCTTTTCTTTTGGGTTGACTTTACAGTCACATTAGGCGAGACCTCTTAGGCGCACACAGGAGACGTAAACATATAAATCAGTGCCAGCCCCACCTCCCGGCGTCTGCACGGGTGGTAGGATACAAGCGGCTTACCTTCTTGTATGTGGACGCAAATGGGTAGCCAATGGACCTACAGGCGACATTTGCCTCAGGTCCGAAGAAGCGATCTGGACAGACGCCTCCGACAACGGTGACCGCGTCGGCGTCCTCCTGTGACCGTGGCTCCTGGATCGAGATCATGACTATGCCAGCGTTCGGACCGAACTGCTTGCCAACCGTCACTCCAAATTTTTGCTGTGACAAAACAAAAAGTGGCAGAGAGGGGTTTGTTGTTGGGTCAGGAAAGTGGGTCGCATGAAGGGATAGATGGCACGGGTGTGCTGCCTTCGGAATAGCACGGTAAGGACGTATATGACGCTCATTTAGCAGGACTGCATATGCCTGTGTCTTTGGCAGTATCCTAGTTGTTTGACAGGTTGCCTGAAGATGCGACAGCTGTTTGGCGATTGAAAAGGCAACCTGTCCGCATTTCTTGTTAGGGCGTGACGCTGTTCTATGTGGGAATAGAGGAGGGCTTAAAGAAGGGGTAAAATGTTTAAGTCAAAGGGCTGTAAGTTAAAATTTTTCGTCGTTCTCGCACACATAAAAGCGCAGATTGCTAACATCAAACTTATGACATCTAAAAGACAAGAAAATTTTCTAGCAAATACCTTGTAATATAAAAAGATACCCGTTTCGAGACAAACTACAGCTTTCGAATTATCCTATGCTTTTAAAGTATGGCTTCGGAAATACGTTGTAATCTTCACAGTCGGTGTCGATTTAGCAAAGAACTCATGCAAACAAGAGGATTGTAGTATCTTGATTCTGACGCTACAAATCCGGATTCGTAGGCCGGAGGGATCACATTCGCAAATATGATGAATTAGGAAAGTATTAAGTGGTGGCCTACGTAGATGGTTTCTGACATTCAAGGAATTCATGTCAACCTAACCAGACGATGCTAGATCTGTTAGACCTAGTTAGGAGTTGATTAATTAATCTGAAGATGTTTATGGCAAATTTGGGGGCTGGCAACTCCGTCTTCCTCTTAGCAGTCCTGGAAAGCCATGCTTCTCTCAGACACTCACACGCGGCTCGCAAACCTAGTCGCGCAGAAAAACAGCGATGGAAAAATCTCACCAAACAAACGATTGACTAATAAACAGATTACACAATCCGTAAACACAAAACGCTAGCAGTTGAAAAAGGTTGCGTCGGCGACAGTATCTCTTAGGTCCTGATAATGCAATCGGCTTAAAAATTAACCTGCCCTAAAACGGGACTACGTATTCAGCTAGGTCAGTCTTTTTTCGCTATGACTCCTGAGTGCGGAAATTATTGTCGCCGCTTGACAATTTACATTTCTCCGTATTCATGTGTCATCAAGAGAAGGGAACTCCGCAAGAACAGATACCCCATGTACTTACTTACAATATATATGTTGGTAGTTGTCACATTCACTGTTGATGTATATGAGCGGGTCGAAGGATACCAAACGAAATTGGGAATCATCTGTATTATGATTGAAGAAGCAGTTCTGCAGGCCCCGGAGAAAGAGGTCTCAGTTACGATGCATTGGCGTTCTCGTGCCCACACAGTGGCGACACAATTATCATAATCATCAAACGACTGTTGAAACATTAATGTGACCTAATCAGGATTATGTCTTTTTGTTTCTAGTTGGTAATGATGAAAACATTTTAGGCGGCTTGCTTCTGTTTTAATCTCATAAACGCTGAATAATGAAGTCACGGTTTGATGAACATGGAGATCTCGGAGCATCCTCCGCCGCAACAATTAATGTGTCAGCAGGGGTCAGCCGAGGTAGAAGGCTATGTAGATGGTGCAGAAATCAGTGTTGCAGTCTTCGAAATCAAAATGGAAACCAACTCGGTTCGCGGTCAGTTTGTAGGCAATTATTGGCATGGAGTCTTCGTTGTCCGCTATTAAATTTTTCTCTAGAAAGTACATAAACGAGGAACAAGGTAGACATGATTCTCAGTAGTGTGCATTTAAAGAAACCCTAAGAAACATTGGCTGTGGACGCCCTTGCTTATGTTATAAAGCGGTCGAAAACCTGCTATAAAAGGACGAGTAATACATTGCTTAATACGTTTTTCTCGATAAAAAAGGGAAACTGGCATGATTACTTCTGGTTTATCTGCCGCCATCAGTCGGTGATACACCATTCTCGGGCCGCATACCCGATATCCGAAGCTTGATTCAGATGATAATCAGGCAAACCTGCCAAGGCTGAATTTACGGGTTCATGTCACATAGATTGAGATCAAAAATGCTCGTTTACACCATAGGGATTTGAAGCGAACTATCGTGAATACAGAGTGGAACTCGGCATTGCCTTGGATTAGAGAGTCTGCATTCCACGCGCACGGTTGCATGACGATTAACAGCCAGTACTTGAGACCTGGGCAACCGTATCAACCGTATCTCCATTGATAAAGCGGGAAGCATAGACGCCTATAACCCATAGACCCCAAAATACAAACTCACAAATTGACTCCAACTCTATCCTTAATACCTTAGCCTAGCCCCTAACATAAAAACAATCATAACGCTAATACTAACCCAAAATTCAACCCTGACCCTCACCCCAAACACTAATATTTGGGTCAGAAATCGTCAAATTCATCTTTATAAGTAGATTGCAATGACGGTTTAGGGAATGGGTCAGTTTTAGCGTTATTCTCCCTAGGTGAGTTATGTTTCCCTAACCGCGTATCGTCCTTTGCGATTTGTTAGACGGTAAACCGCAATAGGACGCACACGAGTAAAATAAGTAGGCGAGTTCTAGGAATGACGACTAGTTGGGGCCATATACAGTACCGATGCCTAAAAACATTTATCAACAAAGACAGTTACATTAGAGTGGCCATATCTGCATTATTGTTCGCAGCATCCGGCTGTGCACGCAGGATTCAAGACCCAAATCAGTGTGAACAATAATCGCGAGATCGAAAGTTCTAGCCAGCCTCGCTTTAGGTCATTTTCTAGCCGCCCAGCGTCCTTGTTTCTTGCCTCAAACTACCAGCTATGTCGGGCTGTGGGACGCCCCATTTCATTCTGTTCCTTGAGTAATTTTCTCCAATATTTTTGGCCAACAGAACATTCCATAAATCTGGAAGCCCTAAAAAGTTTACTCTACTTACTGGAGTCCGACAAATACTTCCTGAAAGACAGCGTCAACAGTTAGTAAATAAACTCGTAGGCAACTGAAAAGAATAACAGACGAGTACAGCAGTACAAAATTACAGCATTACCAAGAAATAAATATTTTGCTGGAATGTGGTTATTGTTGTAGAATGTTTTCTAAGATAACAGTGACATATGCTATCCCACAGCCGACACCATAATGGATCTCCTCGGCGGTGACTTTTACTTTCATGCATGATGTTTTAAGAGTTTCCTTTAAAACTCCTGTAGGTAGATCATTTATTTTCCAACTTATGTCTTCTCATTGGAGATGGCAGACAGATACATGTTTTCTGTTACTTTTTTGCCTCAAAGGATGCCCACTTGAATGCTTCAACTAATGTATTATCTACTTAATTTGTTATACTAAGTGGCCTAAACTATTATCACATATACCCATTACAATAAGTAAAACAAGATATCTCAACCAAGCCCGCACATGTTGTCTACTTAAATGATAGCACTTGATTATGCTACTTCACGAAATTCTGACGCAAGATGTGCTACCAACCTTCTGGAGATCAGCCTACTTAAGCGTCCAGCAGTTTTATTTTCCTTAGTTTTCGAGCTGAACCTTTAAGGCTGACATGGAGTCATCCTCAATAACAGCAGTCACCAAGGCAGAGGCTGCCACACATTCTTACAGTTAGAAAATAAGCTGAAGACTCGTTGGCCTCTGAGACTATCGTATGACTTGTTTCCGCTTCGCAAACTAACATTAGGACACCAGTAGTGGCTATAACAAATCATAAATCAGTCGCCAGTCGTCCTCAAAGCTGCACTACAGACCAACGCCGTGTTGGACGATACGGTCAGTATTCAGTTACCTGAGAGCGGCGCTCACCAGTCTACCTGGATCTCAGGATAGAAATGGAGGTTTCTGTTTATTCTTGAAACTGCATATCTACAGACCATGTAGACGAGTGCATGGCGACTGATAATGAATAGCCTAGAAGCCTCGCAGACATAGACCGGGCTTCTTGTGCTGTGGGAGCGCTGGCTGATACTGGTAAGAGCCCGTTCATGCGTTCCTGTCCCTGTTCGCAACATTTCTCGGTTAATCATTGCATACCGCCACGCGGCCGCCTAGGTGGGTTGCAAGCACACTGCCCCAAGATTAAACAGAAGTGCTCCTTTATCTCTGCAATCGGGATAGGTCGGTGCCTGTCGTTTTAAAGTGACTAATCCGCCAATGTTTATCAGACTTTCTGTCGCAATTGTTCCTAGGGGACGGTCAGGGATTTGACATGGTGTGCGTAAAGATGACTACACGGATTGGCAACGAAGTGGGCTTTGCTGATGCTCGACATCTGAGTAATATCCCCTAAAACAGAACCTCGACTGGCCGTCCATATATCGCGGCGCATTACGAACTGTTTCAGATGAGATAACACTTTTGGGGGTAAATGGGACTGGCGACTGATTTATGATTTGTTATACCCACTACTGGTGTCGTAATGTAAGGTCGCGAAGCGGAAACAAGTCATACGATAGTCTCAGAGGCCAACGAGTCTTCAGCTTATTTTCTAACTGTAAGAATGTGTGGCAACCGCTGCTTTGGTGACTGCCGTTATTGACGATGGCTCCATGTCAGCCTTAAAGGCTCAGCTCGAAGACTAAGGAAAATAAAATTGCTGGACCCTTAAGTAGACTGATCTCCAGAAGGCTGGTAGCACATCTTGGGTCAGAAACTCGTGAAGTAGCATAATCAAGTGTTATCATTTAAGTAGACAAGATGTGCGGGCTAGGTTGAGATCCCTTTGTTTTATTTATTTTAATGGGTAAACGTGAAAATAGCTTAGGCCACTTAGTATAACAAATTAAGTAGATAATAAATTAGTTGAAGCACTCAAGTGGGCATCCTTTGAGGCAAAAAAGTAACACTAAACATGTATCTGTCTGCCATTTTCAATAAGAAAACATAAGTTGGAAAATAAATGATCTGCCTACGGGAGTTTTAAAGGAAGTCCTTAAAAACATCATGCATGAAATTAAAAGTCCCCGTCGAGGAGATCCATTATGGTGTCGGCTGTGGGATCTGGCGTCTCTAGTGCTTGGGAAAGCATGTCACTATTATCTTAGAAAACATTCTACAACAATAAACACATTCCAGCAAAATATATATTTTTTTGGTAATGGTGTACTCTGTGCTGCTGTACTCTTCTGTTATTCCTTTCAGTTGCCTCCTAGTTTATTTACTAACTGTTAACGTTTTTTGTCAGGAAGTATTTGTCGGACTCCAGTAAGAAGAGTAAACTTTTTGGTGCTTCCAGATGTATGGAATGCTCTGTTGGCTAAAAATAGTAGAATATATTGCTCAAGGAATAGAATGAAATAGGGCGCCCCACAGCCCGACATATGTAGCTGATAGTTTGAAACAAGAAACAAGGACGCTGCGCGGCTAGAAAATGACCTAAAGCGAAGCTGGCTAGATCTTTCGATCTCGCGATCATTGTGCAGACGTTCAACCTCTGATTTACTACACTCACCCCTAACACCAACGCATAGGGAATTTAAGGAATAACATTTTCGGGTCGATCCTGCAGCAGGATGCCTTTTAGCTTTATAGATTGCAGGTTAGTTGGTATCGATAAAGACAACTGAGGCCGAGGTGACCATTTCTACCATCTTAGCCACTGTTAGCCAATCTCTACACACTCCCGGCTGGGGGATATACAAGGCTTCTTCCAGCCAGTGGACGCTGTTAAGTCAAACACCTCTGTCCTATATTTCAGGGCAAAACGTCCTCGAGATTAGGTGGCTGACCTCCAATCTCTTACTCCCCTTGATTTTGATATCTTTCTGATAGAAATGACGGGAGAGTTTCGTTTGACCCGCTCTGCAATGTGCTACTACTTCTTGTGAATCCTGAATGATATAAACTTCCTCTGATGCATTGCCACAATGATACGTAGCACCTCACACTTCTATTTTCTCAATTGACCTGTCGATCAGCCGAGTCCAGCGAGATCTGAACCATTAACAACCTCGAAGTCGTAGCGTTCTTGGGTCTTGATGATGGCCCGACAGAGTTCTGACATTTTATTTTGACTCGTCCCTAGATCCACTTCCATGAAGACCGTCCATTAAGAACGAACAATGAGTCGGACAGCCTCGGGTCCTATCAGCCTGCCGGAAAACCTCTGAATTACTGATCGTCCCTTTTTAGCGAAATGTTAGGTTAAAATTCGGTCCATCAATCAAATCAAACCGATTTGTGCCATTCATATGACAGTTTGAACATTCACATTGCTTACCGAAGACGGCTTGCCTCTCAAGGTAGATGCGGGCAAACCTTTACCCCCGACCATTTCTGCTTGAAAGAGCAACTAGTTGATTGCATTTCGGGCTGAGCACAGTAAAACATTATTTACACTTTATGCACATGCAAGCAATGTTCTCCAATCGCCCATGGTTATAATTAAGCCAGTAATGGTCCATAGAATTTCCTTTGGTTTTATCGGAGACCCCTATCTGTTTACTTATTTTAAAGGATACTAATCAGCTGTACTTTATAGTTGGACCTCGCGCCAATATTACTTATTAAAAAGTGCCTGTTTTCGGGATTTTGTGTCCTGTTCGGTGCTGGCTCTCGTTGCGTTCATGGCCAATATCGATTTTCAATTTATTGGGTCATGAGTGACAATATTTTTGGAAAAATAACCATTGTGTATTACATCATTGCTAGTGTGGACGTCAGTGCGTGGGTGTGCGTACAGGATGCTTATGCATGACCTTTATGATGCAGAGACCGTTTCAAGTTATTTCCTTTTCGTAGAATTTCATTCTTGTACAAAAGTTGTGTTTAAGGAGACTGTTTAGCACAGGAAAGACGAGTCCCTGTAAACACTGTCATTGAATTTCTTTCAAAAGGGTACCTAAATGACGAGCAATAATGTTGCATCCTCGCACTATCAGCGTCACGTCAATAAATATAGACCGTTTATCAACTATGTCGGCGTGCAAAGTATGAAGGGAAGATTCAGGTTGTACGGCAAACTAACCTGACTATTATCAGTGTGCAATTTAACAGAATTCAACGATTGTGTCCAGAAAGACAGAACCCAACTGATTCGAAACGGTTCAACTTTATTGCCGACGGTATACTAAGGGAAGTCAAAATGTATTATTCCTCAAGTGCTTGCAGAAAACGTTGACATTAATCTGACTGGCATTATCTGCTTAACTATGGCAAATCCCATGCACAAATGTTTACAAAAACATTCCTACGAAAAAATCCTCGTCCCCGATTTTCAACGGGGTTCATTTAATAGCATTTTATCTGATATATCCCGACTTCTAACTGCCACATGAGGAGAAACATTCTCCAGCAGGACACTAGTGAGATTTTTGAATAAAGGATAAAAAACTTGCGAAAGTCACTTTTCCAGTTTTTGAGATAGGTTTGTCAAATCCTACAATCTAAAGGTCCTTCTTATCATTCACTCATAAGGAATGGCAATTAGTTAAGCGGGTATCTAGTCAAAGTGACTCTCACGCAAAAGCTGCCGGTAGGTGTGTGTGATAGATCGGCTATTTATTTTAAAATTTTCCTGACAGACATACGAATTTGAGTCTGTTCTGCTAACTTCATGAGGAACGCAAACGTGTATACACCAACCATCACGATCTGTGTTTTTAATATGTTTATATTAAGCTCTGTGGGACACATAATATTTTTTAGTTATCTCACATCTCCAAAAATTTTAATTTTATGGCTTTCAAGAAAATTAGTGGGTGGAGGATCATTTTGGGTACGGCGATGTAACCTGCCGACTGTGAATGCTACGTGGCAGTTAACCCCCGCTCTATCGTCTCGTCCTCTCCTTTTCTACCTCCAACCTGGGTTCTCCTGCCATTCAGATTTAGCTCGGGTACAATTCTAAGGTGCACTCTTTCCTACTACTTCCCTGTTATCTATCAATACTGCATTATTTTATCTCTTTGCCGTCCTCCAGATATACTGAAATGGTTAATTAAAGGAGTAGTCGCATAAAATTATCTGTCCCGCCTAAATTAATTAAATAGGCCGTATTAAAGGCCTTGAAATAATTAGCTCAAAATGTTTTCCACCAACTTGCCTTATATTTGTTTACTGAAAACAACCCGACATTGCTTAATCCACCGTGGACATTCGACTTCAGCCTGTTGATATGGCGCCACCTCACCTATTCTTGGGCATGTCGAACATACGCTTAATTCTAGACAGTCATAAGTTTTAAAAAAGGGGACATGATTGCTAAAACAAGGGCTTTACTCGCCCGACGTCTCGGGTTCCTGCTCCAACCCGTCATCAGAAACGATAGTAGATAATTCATAAGTGTGTTGTTAACTCGTCGCTTGAGCGACTTCGCTTAAGCCAGCGTATTTGTTTGTCTAATTTTTCTCAGGAAATGATCTAAAGACCAAACATAATGGAAAGCAGGGGAGATCTGTGTTTCTTATTCAACCGACTGGGCAATAAGAAGCGTAATAATGCTGGAATATTGGAGCTGTCAATTTGTTTAAAATAATTTCGAGAGATTAATCCCTCCCCCGACCACGTGGTCTAACTTCAAATCTGCGGCAAAAAGTTTTCAAAGAAATCTTAATTATCAACCGTGTTCAGTATTGCGTGGGCAGCAAATGACACAATCACTCAATCTACCTTTTCCGCTGGCTAAACAGTTGCAACCCCAAGAAAAATAACATATGCAGACGCTAGATGACACTAAAATTTACAAGATTGACAGGCGAAGGCATCGGAAAAACTCATAGAATTTAACTTAAAGTGAAATAGAAACACACCACATTCAGTAAATCATAATTTGCATTTGATACTAAAAATTATCAAATGTTTAAGAGTTTGATTACCTTGGTTTTTTAGTAAACAATCGAAGTTAGATCCCACAAGGTGGGGTACAATAACTGTAAACCAATATGTACTTCGATTTTAGTTAACCTAAACCCTAATGAGAGAGGGCATATCTAGAAGGAGCATGTTACCAAGCGAACTTTTCTTTTCGGGTGACTAGATGTAAATGCACTTGCTAGAACATGTGTTTAGAAACGAGTGGCATGTCATGGTCAATGAGGGTTTGCGGTACGACTGGCCTGAATTACAGAGCATGCGATATTTAGTTGCGGCTTTAGTTTTGAATTTCACAGTGAAACATAGCAGGTTCTTACATAGCTTGAGGTTGCTGCAGCATATAATGGGTATTTATACAGCATGAGCTGCCCAAAATTATGCACAAAAATATTTAATTTCCTAAAAAATATCGAGTTTCGGACCAAAATGTAACGTATAACGTAGTTCATACATAACGATGTAAGTAGTGAAAGGGGATTTGAAAAACACTTTTTCCAAATATGCTTTGATTTGTTACAATATAAGCGACAAAAATCATGGGATTCCCCTGAGCACTGTGAAGGTGAAAATTGTTCTGGAATTTTGGAGTAAAATCAATCATAAGCAGGTAAATATATGAGCATAAATTAAAGTGTGTGCGCATATGCAATGCTGTTGTTAAACTGTATTCGTTTATGAGAGGGAAATAGCCCTGTTTAAGCGCGCTCAAATGATGAGTTGTTAAGTTCGACGGCATAACCAGCACATGCATTTTTTGAGATCAACTGTGGGCCCCAAGGTAACTTACGGGGTTTTGCCCTTTTCACATACGCATTTTAACTTGAAGACATTAAAACACAGTTCCCATGCTTAAAAAGAAAATTTGCATACATCCAAATTAGTCCCTTTCTGTAACTACCAAAATCTTTTTCGGGGCCTACTCATTATTGCATCAGTAGACATTGTTTTTACGACTTTCTAGGCCCTGATAAGTGGGCTTTATTAAACTGTTGTGGCATTAAACACTAGTAAGACGTTCACCATTGAGGTTTGGGTGCATGTCACGGCAATACCACTGTGGTCCTTACACTAAGATGCCCGGTTTCCAGCTGGGGGCCACAGGATACAAGCTTAATCAGTTAACCTACGCGAGGAGTGTTTTAAATGTGTCCCCATCAACATCGAGTCGCGTAAAAGTGTTCGTTGCTTTCGAGCGTAGTACGAGATTATGTGTGCTGATTTGTGCCTTTGTCAGACATACTCTTATAACATTTTAGACTCGGCAGGATGTCGGCTTTTAAATGCACTTCTTTTCAATCTCATGTAGAAAGCGTGCTCGTTAAAAAATGACTACCTAAGTAGCATGCATTCTTCCCATTGATTTTCGATGGTCTTGCAAATTCAAATATATCTTATAGAAACCATAAACAAAAATATGCTTTCTTTCAGTCACTCAAGCAGTCTTCGCAATCGGACGAAATATGTAGGCACGGTGGTAAATATCAGGGTCTAATGAGAGATCCCCATTGTCTAACTTAGTTCCGAATCAACGTAATTTTAAAATAAGCTTGAAACCTATTAAATCATTACGTAAATATTATGTAAATATCAACATATTCAGTCCGTCTTGTTAAAATGAAATATGCTCGTTGCAGATTGTCGATTTTCTAGTGAATTATCCTCTTGTCAAGAAGATTTCTGGGAAAAGTACATTGAAAATAATATATCAACACTCAGAATTAATCCTTTTACAACACTCTCAACGGTTCTCCTAAGCACTTAACCGGATGCCGTCTTAATGACCTACCTCTCGCATGGCTTCCAAATGATTGCGGCTCATCCCATGAATCTCAGGAGCACGGGGGTTATAGAGTTCTGCCTTGAGGTTGGGATTAAGACAAACCACTCCGGCTTCTTCGCGATTGCTGCAATCGTGTTCATTCCAGTAGGAACAGTCCTGGAGCCTGGTTTCGTTTCCGGTGCAGCTAACGTCATCCATTATATAGGGGTCTGTAAAAGCAATTAGTATAGATTTAGGCTTACACTGGATGTTGGATGAAATCGCTTACTCAGACAATGCCTCAAATTACTCATCTGATCTCCTTTTCTCCTATTTTATGCAGTTAACTCAGTTGGAACTTTGTGTCTCACTACGTAACCTGGTAAAATCTCATAAATTAATGAGCACAGTTTCAGACCCTGCTTGTCGGAAAAAATGCTTATATGATTTGCCTTAACTGTGCGTTTGGAGTTCTTCGATATTTTGAGCTACGTTTGGTGGGTAGTGGGCAGATATGCGTATAATTACAGATGCAAATATATCTGCGAGTTTATTTATCTAATTATTTTCAAGATGCATACCTAAGTGGAAGTAGAATATTATTGCGTGCGATTATCTCGCAGCGCTATGCTTACTTCCTGATGACGAGGTTCCCACTCATTAACTGAGATCAAACTCACAAAATAACCCAAGTAAAAGTATCATATTTACTAATACAAGGCGAATTGAAACTATTTGAATGTGCAGGCCAGTGAAATGGGCGTATCTCGGTCTTATTACGGCATCGGGCGAATAAGTAAATGATATAACTCTGCAAGCAATGACCAATAGGACGGCGCCTAGGGATACTCGAGTTCGAACGGACAGTCGACCCAAGGATGTACCCCAGCTTATGGAGTAGCTGAGATGTGCGTGTTATTATAGATTTGCGTCAAGCAGAGGGTTTCACTCAGTAGTAGAGCTGATTGAAGAATGTGCAGTTAACCGTAAAAATCCGCATTTCAGTTTCACTTTTTTTATCGACTGACCCACACGACTGCCCGTTAGGTTACTTTGTGGTCATGGAGACTGGCACACGTCGGGAACGTTTTCACAGGGTTACTGGAACGCATTTATCCTGCAAACGTTTATATGAGTCCGTTGAGAAGGGCAGCAAAGTCTTCTCGAAGCGGGCAGAAGTGTCTCGGTCCCTCATTTCTGAAAACGAGTTGCAACACCGCGGAATAATTTCTGGCAGAACTTCAAAATCTGAGAACATTTATTTATGCATGTTTACATGCATACGCGTGTTGACAGATTCAATCTCGGCGATATTTTATGTTCAGAGCCTGTTTTAGGGCTATAATTCTGCCTGAATCTTTAAATCCTTTCGTCATATTGGGTAACGTTTTGTTTACCTATTGCAGCATATTGACAAACGTTTCTCATGAAATAAAAGAACAGAAACTATCGGCAAACGAGAGACTATTTTCCAAGCTAATCAGTAAGTCCTTTACAGTTAGGTACACCCTAATGCTCGAAGACAAATTTGGGTTTTGCTCATTTTTACGGTGGTATTTTGCCTTTGATCTTCGACTTCCATTGGGGGTCTGTATACGGTAGGTGGACGAACTCATGAAATATCAACCGAGATTTGTCAATGCGTTATCGTTTCAAAAATGCTAATTAAATAGGATTTTAAAACTACTCAACATGCAGCATGATTACATAATAAATCAGTTACCTCAGGATACCGCCTTCGAAGCAACTTCTTTGCAACTAAATCCAAAAACGACATTCTGTAAGAAATGACTACTTACGTATCATGCATTTCTCTCACTGACTTTTGATGCCCATAAATATTCAATTATATTTCATAGAAAACATGCATAAATGTACCTGTTCTTTTGCTCATTCGGTAGACAATTACGTCTTCTTCCAATTTTATGCTCGCAGGAGGGAAATAATTCGGTTTTAAAAAAGTAAAATGGATAGTAAATTCATAGATTAAACCGCTTGTTCATGGTTCTCTCAGGAAGTGAAAGTCACTCTACAAAACTGTTGAACCCTCCATAAACCATTCAAATTCTGATGCAATGAAACAAAATAAATCCACGCATCAAGGGGACTCAGTTAAATTGGGTTCCTCATAGTTACGATAAAAGCAATCAATTCTACCGATCTCATATTTACGAGAACCACATTTCCGGTATTGCTTTACCAACCAAACTTTCAAACAACATGTTAGGAGCCGAGTCAGATAGAGGCAAAACTGTTACACCAGTAAGGCTGTTTATAGGCTTGCTAAGATTCCGCAAAATAAGGTCCACTGCAGAAAATGGGTAACACAAGTTAAAGAAACTTAGAGAGCGTGGTTTATAAAATAAGATAGAACATTGACAGACCAAGCCGATCTTGCTTTGTGCAAATACGCCTATAGTGGTATTCCCGGCCACCCTTACGGTTTATGACGTAAACACTCACAAGGGACGGGGAACTGAATCAATGGTTAAAGGTATATACACAAAATTTGTGCTCATTTCCGGTGCGTTTTGACGTTTTTATTTTTATTCCACTGACTAAAAACTTCTGAAATATCGCAAAAATGCTTTTCAATTATGGTTTTATCCCTTGCCGAGCATAATAGCCCCTAAAGTGCATCAAAAAATGAACTCGGGTTCAGTACTTCTATCGGTTATATACTTTTATATCGTCACGCTTCTTTGTAACTCACTCAACTCACATTTGGTAGTTTTTTTATCATATAAAGGTGATCCAAATCAGGCGTTTTTGGCGGCCTCGGCAAAAACTTGACTGACTGGTGGCAAAAACATATTTGGTCAAGCAGCACACCGTATCTGAAGTGGGGGATTCTATAGGTTACAGCAGACTGAGTGGAAAACGAAGCCCAAATGTGAAAAAAGCATGACTCTCGACCATAGTCTCGTAGTTCAGTTGGTTTGTGTTTAGTACACCACAGCCTTGCATTTCCTGTCGCGAGTTAGTATGTCACCGAGACTGACCTGTTTTGCAAAGTTGACTAGGCATTCATACTCTGAATCACTTTGAGATCTAAACTCTGCTTATCCTGATTGCATTCGGCATTATGGGACTTTATAGAATCCTTTTGAGCGTTTACCTATGTGACTTGGCGAGGTAAGGAGTGCTTCAAAAAGTACCAATCTCTTGATCGGTACAAACATCTGGTAGCTATTTTAAAATTATCACTATAAAATTCTCCTTTGTCAACGCTACCACTTCATAAACTGGCAGTCTTCCATTCCGGTGTAGACAATTGTGTATTCTCACCAAAGTGCTTTTTGTGTGGCGTTATTTTCCAGTTGGGATACAACTGACTTGGACATTTCATGGAGAGTACGTTTGCATTTCCACTATTTGTAAACAGTCTTGCCCAGATTTTTACGGTCGGTAAGTACTGAATCTAAACCTTCAGAAATATCCAAAACTTGCTAGGGATCCGCCGTATGCTGCTATCGTTACTAGATTCTCAGGCGGGAAGCAAAATGTTTCATTTGAAACTAAGTTTCGGCGCCCGATATTTCTGATAGGGGAGTTTTTATTGATCAAAGGCGCAAACGACTGGAGTTTTGGCGTATGATTACCTTCTCGTTCGTCATGCAGGCAATGTTCGGGCACGAACTCGCCGTAAAGCAAATCTCATATTCACCTGTGAGAACATATGCTCCCATAATACCAAGGGATCTGCTGACGTTTTGTAAAAATCCTTTGATAAACAGGCACTTGTCACTGCAGAAAACCACACAGTGCTTTTTAAACATTCTCAAAATTTCGTGGGTATATTAATCAAAGTCGAATACCTTGGGGATGCCGGGGAAGACATTTTTGAAATTCTTTCTATAACACCATTATTGGTAAATAAGTTTCTTAAGGTCAACTGTGCAATCTGACAAAAATAGATGTTATTTCCAAAAAGCGGGCTATTATTAATATCCAGAGTTGTATAAAAGTTGAAGAACAAGGAAAATTTGTTTTTAAAACACATGTATGAAAACTTATTCAGAAAAGGCGAGCATGTTTTTGTTAGTGCAGGCGTGATTTATTGTTTTGGTGAAAAATTGTTTTTTTGAACCCCTTGTTGGGAATGTGCTATTTAGTCTTGGTTGAAAGTTGCAGATAGGGCACAAAAGCGTCTCATTTACAATTATTTACGAGGAAGCTTTATAGCAGTCAAGAAGACTACTGCAACCTTTGGGTGAAGAAAACGTGAAACATTAAATGCGAGCAGTCAGAATGTTTTTGTTAATAACCCTTTGAAATTCATAAAGAAGATAGGGATCATAGATATGCTCTGATGCAACATGATATTTAATTATGATCCATAAACTAGCCCGAATTAACGACTTAAAACCACCTTTTCTATCATGTGCTCTTTCCCAAAGGAGGCGACATTGGCGCTGAACTCCAAGACGCATTGTGCGCAGTACGTAAGCGTGATTTTATGTAGAGAATATAACCAGAATAAAATTACGATATTGGTAGCAGTTTTAATAGTCTTAGCTTATGACTTCCTAAGCCACCTATGGCAAAATTGCTTATAAGAAAATTGCTACATAAGAGACCAGTGTTTTATCTATGGCCTGCAGTTTCCTAACTACGATCGTGTACATTCAGTTCTTAACTTATTGCAGGTCTTTTGTGAAAAAGTTTGCAATGACAGTAGAATTCAGACATTTAAGCCGTTTTTTAAGGCCGTGTAATAAAGCATTCGCAGATTTTTTGAGTGCAATTGGAAAACATGCTGGGGTCTTAAGGGAGTATACAACATTTAATTCCCTTGAAGGTCATGTTTATTATCAAAATTACCATTGACGTAAAGCAATGTAAAAGTGTTAAATATATTCAGAACGAATATAACACCTTATAATAAGTGAACTACACAAATTACTGAATTGACCTATCAGACGATTACGAAGGTCGGCTATTTTAAAAGCATAGTTTCTTTTAAAATTTTACCGCAAAGAGCTTTTAGCACTTTGTTCTTGAAAGAAAACTGCTTACAACGATTTTTGAAAACCCGAAAAATTCGAATAAAATCGACAACAATTTATATTAGAGAAGGCTTCGGCGTACGCAAATCGCCCCTAGAGAAGGCCAGCGGGCTACTGTACTTGACTTGACTTTAGGTTCTACTCCTCACGCACCTGTAGCACAATGTTTTGCCTATTTGTTGCCTGCAGTACGACAAAAGTAATTTGGTCATCCCAAAAATTTAAACAGTCGACCTGACCTTATTGCACAGCACATATTTGTCTAGAAATGAGGTCAGCTGTTTCGCTCTCTGACAGAATCCCATAGAACTTCGTCGTGGCCAAGAGGATGTTCGGCAGAGTACGTCCTAACATTTGAAGGAGGATAAACAAACCAGTTACATTCCTAAACTACCTACAGTAGAGAGGAGGCGAGAAACAAGAAAACATAGACCAGATCAGACACTCACGCATTCCGTTTGTAGCAAAGAAGTCGCGAGTAGTGGCCTGCAGAGCGTAAGGGAATCCCAGCTGTTTGCACACAATAGTCGCCTCCTTGAGGGACCAGTTGTCGTCACAGACGGTGCCCCAGCGTCCATCGATATTAATCACTACAGTGCCCTCACTCTCATCGTAGCCGTCCATTAGGAGGATGTCTTTTCGTTCGTGGGACTTGCTCTCAAGCAGAGCCTGGGCATCCACCGGGTCGTCATGCGGTGTCTCTAGACGTAGTTTGTTATAGTAAAGCCATCTGTCCTCCGGCGACAGACCACCTACACGGCCGGTTCCGGTGCCATCGTTGGAGGCCTCAACGGACAGGAGCGTTGTAAGTGGAAGAGGCGACAACAGCAGCAGCTGCAGCACAACGACAGAAAAAGGATACATCGTTCCAGGCGAAGTTAGTGGGCCGAGGCTGCAGCAATGTCTGTCTACTCTCCTGTCTCTGAGCAGCCGAAAAGTGCTGCTCCTGTTTTCATGGTGCATTTATTGGTGGGCTGGATGCACAAACATGCGCATACACATATGCACATGCACCAACTGTAGTCATTACAGGTAATTTCCATATTTGCCTGTTAGATATATACCTATCCTTTGCATGCATTTCGCAGGACATTGACGGTAAGTAGTAATGTTCCAACCCTCTTTGGCGGCACTTTTGACGAGCGCTGGAGAGGGAGTCACTAGGTGTGTGTATTGGACTAGCTTTACTCTGTCCAATGAGAATAGGTCTCTTGGTGGAGTACTTTAGTTGTCTGGATTTGGGCGAGTTAGATTTTAAAAATTATACGTACCGCTCTTAGGAAACTTCTTTCGCAGGTGGCAACCAGTAGTCCTTATAGCTTGCATGCCTAGCATTCCATCTGTAAAGTTACTTTCGGTTGGAAAAAGAGGATCAGCACAAGAGCATGAAAGTTGTTGTTTGCAGCGGCCAAATCAAAAAGGTGACTCTCTGTATATGACTTTTAGGTCAGAAGAAGAAAAAAGTGCGACCACTGGAACTTTTAGGTCATCGTAGATTTAGAAAATCTCTGAAGAATTGTGTGGCCAACAAATAAGAGGCTTCTTACATCGAATATAGGTAAACGAACTATGCGAAGCGCATTGGTAGTCTTTAATAAACTATTGATTATTTTAGACCCGTAACAGCTGTGCTAGTTGAACACTAGAGCAGTGCGTCCCGAGTGGACCAAGACCATAAATAATTTAATCCAAAATGTGATCCCCTTTACAGGAAGCCGGTGAATGTGTTGGCATAACCGGTCACCCACGCTGTACTACAAATGCAAAAACTCTGATCGACATAAGTATTTTGAATTTTAACAGCTGCCGTTGTACCACTGAGGGAGCACTAAAACGGCTTGATACAGTGGGTGTAAGTTCCGTAAAAACGATTATTGCCTAATTTAGGGACCAGTACGACCGAATAGGTTGACCAAAAAGCAAACCCTAAATGTGAGTAGTACGGTTTTCGGTTTCCCGACTGCAGTTATCTGCCGAAATTAGGCCATCTGGTCTGATGGTCGCCGGCCTCACTGACGGGTAACCTAATATGGACCTGCTGTTGCGTATGAGACTGGCTAACGATGCTCATTGCACCAAAGAAAGAAGTCGGAGTACCTGAATTTGATCAAACATGTTGTGCCCACTTGACATGTGCCCACAACGGCTGTTGATCTACTCCGCTCAATCCAACAGCGATCATAACATCTCGGCAGATTATGAAGGACGCATTAAAACTATTGTTAAATAACCGGTTAGTGCAATTTTCTATGTAGGAAGGAGGTTTCGATTTTTGGTGAGAGTCGAATGCTGTCGACATACGTATTTGAGAAGGACATATTTGACCAACAATGTACCCACATTAATTTGTCTTTGTGAAAGCCGTTTTTCGCAGCGGTGGCTCACAGTTCCTGTCCACGCAGGGCCAAGATTACTTGGCCGAGTTTCAAAATACCTAACACTCGCTTAAGAATACTGAACGTTAAGCCCACCGACAGCGGAACCGCTTATCTTAACCAACAGCGCACAGACGACTACTAGGAATGGAAGAAGGAGAGAGGTCAGCATCACACCCTGCCTCTGATAAAATTTTCGTAGTATGTATGAAATAGGGCAGGTTGACAAAGAAGGAAGTTGATATCAAACATTTCAAACAACTTACTTTGCCTTTCACTAATTTTATACTGCGAGGATTTCTCTTATCAATGAAATAAATTCCGAACGGCAGTCCGTTGCAATTATTGGTAAAAACTTCGTTCGGAAACAGAAATATGGACTCCTGTCCTATTGGTGACATCACGCTTAATTCCGAGGCGCCTATTCCGGTGTCCTAACTCTAACCCAAAATTTAAGCCTCCTGGGTCTTACTCTAACCCTCCAAGCCTTAACCCTATTACTAACCTTAACGCCCGGAAGGTAGGACGAAATCACATGTCATACGGTGTATCCACAATTCCGTGTCAAATCGAAACTCTACCTCAACTGAAAGGCAGTTTCATGCTGTCAGTCCTGAAAGGCCTCTGTCAAAACACAAAGCAGGCGTTAGAATCATGAGAGTATGGAAGGATCCAGTCGGAATTCGAAAAGCTATTTGAGGATTTCAAGGCCAGAGGAATTGGAATGAAGCCGAACGCAGCGAACCACTATCCTTGCGCTCCTTCAAGGACAGCAACATTCAGTTTTGAGGAATGAGCCGACATTTCTCCTCGTCAATTTCGTCCATTAAAACTCCTTTACTTCTATACGGCTATTGGACTATTTTCATTCCATAGAATGAGTTGCATCACTTTTTGAATTGATGCTGATTAAGCATATCCTCAGGGGGAAAACGATTCGTGCGTCTTTGAGAGAAGAGGAGGAGCTACGGTAGTTGCCATACTCCCCAATCACATTTGTACCGAAGAATTTGCCTCAAAGTCATGCAGCTGTTTCTGAGTAAATAAAAAACCCTAAATTTAAAAAGTTGGTGATGTAGAGGAAAACTCATGGGGAAAGTTGGGTGACCCATAGATGAGCAGGAACCGCACAGCTACGTCATGCGGTTGCGCACACGCGTCGGAGGGGGGGAGGCTGGTCTTTTAGCCAATGGCTATGCTGCCAGTGTGCTGAGTCAGTTAACCTTTGTATACTACTGGCTGTCCTTTGACAACATGTAACTACTGTGCGGGCATTGTTCCTAAGCTTATGGGTTTCATGTCAAATATTTATACCAGCTTAAGTACCGGACTCGAAGCATTTACTCCATGCCAGAGCATTAGACATTGAAAAAGAGCTTGTCACGTGCATTTTTGTTTGTCCTTGCCCCACAGTGTCAGAAAAATCTTTGCAGAGAAACTTTTTTATTTAAAAGCAAATACATGATACTTTTGCAAATTAAGTGATGCACTTCGCTTATCGGGCCTATGTCATTGTCAAAAAATAGTCCTGTATGGGCGACAGCAGATACCGATGAAACAAACACACGACGTAGGTGGAATGGCTGAGCTCCTAATCTTTCAAGGTCGACCGTCGAGTTGGAGTCGTTTGTATAGCACCCTCCGGCAGGACTAGGGAGTAGGAACGTCCCACAGCAAAAAAAGTGTGGCTTCACGCTAAATCCGATAAAGGGTACCTATTCCCCTATCCCAGTCCTAACGTTAACTCTAGCTTCGCAATTAACCCTAACCCTAACCGTAACGCCAAGTTGCAAAGCAATCTATATTACGTGGGCCTCCTTTTTCCACGTCCTTATTTCTCTACCGGTATTTGCCCTGTCTGGGTGCGCTGTTGACCTTCATAACCCCGAAATCCTAAGCTGAGGCCACGACCACAAGATCGGAATTAAATGTGAGGCCTGAAACTTAGAATCGGACTTTTTCAACCGAAACGTGGTGTTTGCGGTGACTTTTCCCTGGAATAGTTTAGTATCGGGAATAAAACATCCATTTCAGGCGCTTTTAGAAGACAAAAAAACTTTTAGCATCGGGGAAACGGACTGATGTCGCGAGCCACAACCCTTAACATTTTTCATGTCATTGTGGACATTGGATGCCATAGACAGAAACACGGCATCATTAAATTACTGCAGGCTTGATACTTGTTTGACCAGGTGGGCTGAATGATTGGATCGTGGCGGTCAAGACGGACTTCATACGAGGCCGAGAGGTGGCAACGCCAAGGTAGACGATTGGGGGTCAATTTGTGATTGTGCAAATGTTGGCTGCACTCCGAGATCCCCAAGTACCCCTCCTGACCCTCCGATCGTCCGGTCTAGCCGGAGTCAGCAGGAGCTGCCGTCACGCTGGCCCATAGTTCCTTTCGGCTGCGAATGGATGACCATTGATCTGCTGGCCGCCATTTTGCGTGATTATTACTAAGTACAGAGGGCTCAGTATCACTGCGCTCCGAACGATGTAGGCAGTCCTACTTTGGAAACGCCAGTGTATCAAACCCGCAGATCCTAGGATTTTTTTCCTATCATCTGTACCCAGGAACGCGTATTTCCGCCTCTTTTAGTTAGTTTTTTAGACTAAATATAACGTCTTTAAGGTCTTGTTGCAATCCTTTCTTTGGTTGGCACTCTAACTTTTGAAAAGTACCAACGAAACCGTTTAAAATCTATGAATACGGACTGAGTAGTGTTCGAAACTTCTGATTATTTCATGATAACACTCAAATCGTTACATTCTTGTTACAGTAGTTTCTTGGATTTCAATTGCTTATCTACTATTGTACCTAACGCGGAGGGGACAAAAATGCTGTTCAACCGCAGCGGGCAAAAAAATCTGCATGACATGTGGCACATCACACCGCTGATTATCTAATCAATCTGACACAAGCTTTTATTTTCTCAATCTTTGCATATAGTTACTTAGGCTGTTCTGCTGCAAAAAAACATGAATAATTTGTCGCTGGGCTGTTGCAGTAATTCCTTTTTCATTCATACAACATGCCATGCATCCGTTGCCAAATGGCTGAACGCCACCCGGTGTTCGGTTTACCAATATAAGTGCATTTGCATAATCTGCACGAAGTCAGGTAACCTTCCGGTGATTGTACTGGTTAGCAGACGAACAGTTCGTGCCTCTCAGTCGTTTTTGAGGTCGATAAAAGCAAGAAATGTAAGTGCTTACAATACAAAACTGGTAATGGCAGACTGGCGAGGGATGAATGGTGTGTGTTTCATTTCATATTTTGCACTATTACAGCAAAAAGAGACAGACTAGCTTGATGTAGTATTCTTATTAGACAGCAATAAACTGGGACGCGCGAATGATGGCCCGTACAGGGCAGTGCGTCCTCATGGAAAAAGACTAGATAGCATGCACACAGTCAGCGACCAGTTTCATAAAATGCGGATCGTAATTCTAAAATGCGTTCTCAAGTGAGAAGAATTACTCAAGTGT